GCAGCTGCATAAAGAGTGAACTCCTTACATGAATATTTTTCACTGCTCAAAATCATAAAATATCATTGAGGTATTTTTGTAAGGAAATAACTATATTTGAGTTGATTATCTTAAAGAGCTGAAAATTTCCCATAACTGTTCTAAAGAATTTTAATGTGTCCAATAGCTTTTCTGGAAGTTCTTTTATTGGCTTACAGAAAGTGTTTCTGTGATGAATATGCTAACACTCACCCGTAAAATTAACATCCCCGATGCTTGAAAGAGAAAGCTAATTTCCATTTCAAAGAACGGGGCATAATAGTCAATTATGAAGCACTTATGAAGTATCGGATCCCACGTGACATCTCGAATTACCACCTTGATTCTGAATTGCGCGAATGTGATACGTACGTAACATAATTCAACGTTGCGTTATTCTATCCGAAGTTAGGCCTGCTGCCTTATTATACTTGCAGATGAAGGAAGAGAGTTTTTGGATTACGTATGCACATAATTCTAAATAAAGATGAGAGGACGGTGACGGAAGGTTAAATTATTTAATAAAGATGAGGCAAAATAGAGTTATTAGTCTGTAATAAGAATATAACTCACCAAAGAATTCTTCAAAAAATAAGCTGACTCATTTAAAGTTAGGTACGGGCAAAATATTAGAAATTACAGTTCTTTCAAATGCAAATCAACAAAGATTATTATGAAAAGAGAAGAGAAACATAAAAGTAGTAATGCAAGAACCTTGAGTTTGGCATAGATTTCGTTCAGATCTCAATCGGTTTAGAGGGCAAACATGTACAGATCCCTCTTCGTCAGGAACAAAGTCTTGCAGATTTCTTTGCTCATGCCGATGAGGGACCTATAGCTATTTCCCTTCGAAATCGATTGAGATCTTGACCAAATCTAGGTCAAACTCAAGGTTGTTGCGTTACTAAAGATTATTATGTTGTTCAATAGAAATAACCTGATTAGTTTATAAGGTATTTCTCCCACTTCCCTAGCGTGTCTTCGTGGTGTAACGGTAGCACGCTGGGCCAGTATTCCAGAGATCCGTGGTTCGATTCCCGGCTAAGGCGGTTGCACATTTTACATCTTTTCTGCTTCCAATTAACCTAATGACTCTACAAGTCGCGCTCGAACTAAAAGGGTTGTGGATGATGATTCTCCGCACCCAGGATTTGGCGACTAGGTTCCCTAAAACTCTAGTCGCTCTTCAAAAAGGGGAGTATATAAGATATTTCTCCCACTTCCCTAGCGTGCCTTCGTGGTGTAACGGTAGCACGCTGAGCCTGTATTCTAGAGGTCCGTGGTTCGATTCCCGGCGAAGGCGGTTGCATATTTTCCATATTTTCTGCTTCCAATTAACCTAATGACTCTAGAAGTTGTAGACATCTACTGGAGATTAATGTTATAGGCTATAATGATAACAAATAATATGGTTCAAATTATTTCGCTTAATAAATGAATAGGTAAATAAAGCTAAAAGTCGCGTGTAAATGTTTGCTAAATTGTTAGGTTCGTAACGAATACTAGACAGCAGATAAGAAGTAAATCATTTATTTAGAGATCTGAGAGGAAGATAAATTTTAAAGTAAAGGTTTTGTGTCTTCAATTTCGTGTCTGAATTTTACCTTAGAAACAAAAGTTAGCCCAAAATGACCTCATGAACACAACTTAAAGCAGGCATAAAATATTGATTGTCATTCTTGTGCAGCAACATCGTTCACTAGCTGTTTAAATATTTATGAGCAAATTTATCATAATTTACAGAGAATGAAATCCGACTTCTTAGAGAAGATTTTAAAGTCTATACAGAATTTATGGGAATGGCCTTAACGATTCTAATCTTTAAATCAGAACTTTTCAGTTGGTATGGGACGATTCTGTGGTGCATTGGTGTCATTCTGTTGCGCAGGCACCGAAATCTAAAATATTATAAATAGTAGTACGCTTTCATGTTTTGTTAGTTAGTGCTATCTTTACAGCATTATAGGTCCTCGAGCAAACCATTCACCTGGGGCTCTTATGACAGCCACTCACAGAAATCAAATGCAAATGAAATACAAAGTGGATTAGAGTGGATGCAAATGAAATATAAAGTAGATTAGAGGCAAGTTCCCAGAGAGGCTATGCGTTAAGGCGGCTCTAATGTTTGTTAGTAAGTTTATACAGAGGCTGTTCACACATTTTTTAGACGATGCATATTGTACTCACAAAACTAAATTACATAAAATTCTTGTGTTTTAAATGTTCTATTAGACATCCCTTATTCTGAACTATCTTTCGACAAACAACTTTCGACACCGTTTCCAGGATAATAATGCCTTTTGAAGTGGGGCAGAAGAGTATTCTATCTCCCATTCCTCCCGAAACGCTTTCCAGAGTCCTGTTAGGATTTTGGGACAACGTTTGGATAATGCAGTTTTTAAAAGCCCGAAAGCACAGAAATCCATAGGTGACACATCGGAAGATTTAGTACAGATATCAGTGAAGGGTATGGCCTTGATACCAGTTTTTTGTTATATTTCTTTTAGGAAATTTACAGTGGATTTTGATGTGTAACTGCTAGCTTTGTCCTGATGGAGTCTCACAGATGGATGGCACTGTGGGTAAAGCGATGGTATTTCATTCAGAAAAAATGGCGATAAAATATGTTCCTGATAGTATTTGGAGTTAATCTTGACATTTTTTTTTGCACTCTCTTTTTATTTTTAACTTGCCATTATAAAGAAAAACCAGCAACAATCAGGAATCCCCCCCTTAGAAAAACTTCTTTTGATTCTTTGAACCATGTACTTAAATTTTTTTCTCCCCTTTTATGATAATAAATGGCTCTTTTTTGTTACAATCATTTAAATACACCATTCTTTCATCTATTGTGACATTGTTTTTTCCATTTTTTCTTTTTCTTTGATAAGTGTGTTTCTCATAGAGAATTCTGCAGCGTGTCCGGCGTGGAGCGATATGCTTTGGAAGAAGACGATGCACATTGCGGTTTTTCGCTTTCTTAAGATTTAAATCAACGTTTAACATTTTGTTTACAGCGGACACCGAGCATTTTAATGATTTTGCAACTGTCCTTTGACTAGGGGGATTTTCTTTTAACATTAAACAACGTACCTTTGCAATAGTCGAAGATGTCAGTTTTTTCCTTGGATACTTGTTTGGAATTTTTGCCCCACTTTAGGTTCCAATTTGACGTTTTTTTCCTTTCTTGTTGATGATATTACCTATCGACGCTTTAGATATCACAAAACCATGACTCTCACGTCGTTTTTGGATAACGGAGTATGCATATTTCTCTTCGGAAAGAGCGTAAATGTAGCCTTTGAACCAGTGCTTTGTTAAATTCGCCGTTTTGAATAAAATCAAAACTTTCAAGCCACAGACGATAATTTTGACTTTTAAAAACATAGTGCAATTGGAATTACTTCTTTTGCAGCAAACGAGTTTTTATTACCGCTTACAAAAATCGTCTAAAAAATCTGCGAACAGCCTCTCTATTATATATTACTATTCAACTAATATATTTATTATATTTATTTGCATTAAAAGGAAATATAATGTAGCGATGTAGTACGATTTGTGAACGCATGCTTTGCTATAAAGGAAAACTTACATAGAAAGTCTTGGGAGATTTTCTAAGTGAAAGACACAGCCAGAAGCCTCTGGTTTGAATATTTAATTTATCAAACAACAGTGATTTGTGTGTGGAAGAAATGGATAGAGGAGGACCAAACGAGGCGAAATCCTGGCAGTGGTGCCCGCAATAGCACAACGGCACAGGACGACAGACACTCATCAGCAAGGCTATGATGGATGGTACACCCTCTTGTGTGTTAGCACAACGTTGGATCAGGGCTACAGGTGTTGTGTCTACCTCCGCGGTTAGTCCCCGTCTGCTACAGAATGAACAACCTCAACAGTGATCGCTGGTTGTTGAGTCAAGGTCGTTGGAAGGTCGTTGAGTCAGAGATCGTCCTCATTTTTTGACGCATTCCGGCCGTTGTATTTTAGCAGGATAATGCCCGTGCACATGTTGCTAAGACTGCACGAGCCTTCTTTAGGGCACGGCAGGTTTCTCGTCTTCCATGACCTGCTTACTCCTCGGATATGTCGCCTGATGAGCATATCATCTGTTGCATATCTGCGCCCAATGAGCATGAAATTTCATCGGTCAGCGACTCGCTCATACAGCTGGTAGAGCACGCAATAAGACTGAACTTTGGCGTCAAGTCGAATCCATATGGATTGCTATTCCTCAGAAATACATTCAGAACCTGTTTGAATAAATGCCACGACGATTACAGGCACTCATCGCTCAGCATGCGGACACACAAAGTACTGATTTCTGATGTTCTTTTGCTGTCTTGTAAATGTGATCGTTTATTTGTACCAGCATCAGTAATATGTGGAATAAATTTCATTCATTTCCGACAATTCCTTCATGGTGTAGCAGTTTTCACACACATTAGTGTATAACAGCACGATAGGATAGCCCAAGAAATTTATATTCTTAGTTTTTTTTCCAATTTTATGTGATTTTATGACTAGAGAAATTATGTTCATAATGTTCACAGTGTTTTAACATAATACGTGTACTTATTTTCAGATATATGTGTTACCTACACATATATCTTAAATGTGTTTATCCTTGAAATCTGTTTCATAATTTATTCGTGCATTTTCACATTATTAAAAGGTGTTGCAGGTGATTGATGCCTAACTTTCTTTCTTTTTTCAGAGAATTCATAATTTCCAGATTATCTCAGTTAAAATGTGACCGAAAATAACCTGAAAAAAAATGATTTGCAACAAATGGGATAATTTTGCTTTAATAGTTATGCTTCTGGAATATGTCTGACAGTAATAAATATTTAATGTTTTTCGAATAGCTCTTAAATTTGCCTATGTTGTCGTCCCATAACAAGTATAATTAATTATTTATTCTCAAGACTGTGGAATTCAGATAAAAAAGGAGTAGGATATAGATAGAAATAATGAAATACCAAGGAAGCCTGTGAGGCTCAGCAAAAGCGACCATGTGCTCTTGGAAGTTGACGCCAACCAAATCTAGCCCTTCACACATTTCCATGTAATCGTCCAGTCTCTCATTTTCGTGAAAGAACCTCCTCCTCTGCTCGTCGAACTCATTCGCTGCTTCCAAATTGGCGAAGGCGAAGCCCTTGCTGAAGCGTATCTTCGTGGCGGGATGCTTCTCTAAATCAAGTAGCTGGGGAAGAGAAAGAACATCAAAATGATACATCAAATGCATTTCCATACATTTCCTTTTTTTGAAGGAGATCTGTATATTTAGTTACAAATTTTGCAAGATAATACGGAGGATATCTTTAAAAATAATATTACTTTAATTAACTAATCTTAGTATTATACAATAATCAATACATATTGTATTTCTCGTATAAATAAAAGCTCTTTTTTACTGCTTTTAAATCTATCGTATCGGTCCCATGGACGCATATATGCAACAGATGATTTGTGAACGAGCAAAAATAAAATAAATAACACTGCTTAGCCTGCTTGTTGATTAATTAATTAATACAGAGGCTGTTCACACATTTTTTAGACGATGCATATTGTACTCACAAAACTAAATTACATAAAATTCTTGTGTTTTAAATGTTCTACTTTGCATCCCTTATTCTTAACTATCTTTCGACACCGTATCGTAATTTCCAGGATAATAATGCCTTTTGAAGTGGCAGAAGAGGTATTCTATCCCATTCCTCCCGAACAGCTTTCCAGAGTCCTGTTAGGATTTTGGGACAACACTTGGATAATGCAGTTTTTAAAAGTCCGAAAGCACAAAAATCCATAGGTGACACATTTGGAGATTGAGTAGGGATATCAGTGAAGGGTATGACCTTGATACCGGTTTTTTTGTTCCATTTCTTTTAGGAAATTTACAGTGGATTTTGATGTGTGACTGCTAGCTTTGTCCTGATGGAGTCTCACAGATGGGTGGCACTGTGGGTAAAGCGATGGTATTTCATTCAGAAAAATTGGCGATAAAATATGTTTCTAATAGTATTTGGAGTTAATCTTGACATTTTTTTTGCACTCTATTTATTTTTAACTTGCCATTATAAGAAAAACCAGAAACAATCATGAATCCCTTAGAAAAACTTTCTTTCGATTCTTCGAACCATGCACTTAAATTTTTTCTCCCCTTTTATGATAATAAATGACTCTTTTTTTGTTACAATCATTTAAATACACCCATGCTTCATCTATTGTGACAACTGTTTTCCATTTTCCTTTGGATAAATGTTTCTCATATAGAATTCTGCAGCGTGTCCTGCGTCGAGCGATATGCTTTGGAAGAAGACCATGCACATTGCGATTTTTTTTTTTTTTTTTTTTTTTTTTTTTTTCCTTTTTTTTTTTTTTTTTTTTTCGCTTTCTTAAGATTTAAATCAACGTTTATCATTTTGTTTTACAGGGACACCGAGCATTTTAATGATTTTGCAACTGTCCCTTTGACTATGGGCATTTCTTTTAACATTAACAGCGTACTTTTGCAATAGTCGAAGAGTCCATTTTTTCCTTGGATACTTGTTTGGAATTTTTGGTCCCCCTTGAGGCTCCAATTTGACGTTTGTTTCCTTTCTTGTTGATGATATTACCTATCGACGCTTTAGATATCACAAAACCATGACTCTCACATCGTTTTGTTTTGGATACGGAGTATGCATATTTTTCTCTTCGGAAAGAGCGTAAATGTAGCCTTTGAACCACTGCTTTGTTAAATTCGCCATTTTGAATAAAAACAAAACTTTCAAGCCACAGACGATAATTTTGACGTTTAACAACATAGTGCAATTGCAATACAATCGCAATTACTTCTTTTGCAGCAAACTAGTTTTTATTACCGCTTACCAAAATCGTTTAAAAAAGTTGCGAACAGACTCTGTAATTATAGTAAATTAATAAATGAAAACGTGCTAAGGGAAGGGATTGTAAGGTATTTGCATTATACGTAGAGAAAATATCAAAAAAAGTCATGCAGCCTGGAGTTAAATTCAAGAACTACTACTTATATTCCTGCCTTGGCAACAGTAACTGTTGCCAGGCGACCGCAGATGATACCAATCCAAAGTCTGACATTTTTAACCATAATATCTTCAGAACGTTTCGGTCAGTGAACTAATCGTTCGTTATTCTTGGGCGCCTGGGATAGACCCTATCCCAATCGAGCACAATTTTGCATTTTTCGAATGTTAAATAGCATGATGAAGAGGTAAAAATCTTCTTAAAATAGGCAATGCAGTTGAAACGATGCAGTAACAGGGGTTTGAATGCTTAAATTTTCGAAATTTTGCTGACAAAGAGCCTTACGGATAAATACTTCTGAGGGATTAGCAGATGTCAGCAGGAGCTGAGTGCCGAGCTGGCGGTAGCAGCGGAGTCTTGACTCTGAGGAAGGAGGAGTCGTTAGCCGCAGAGGAGAAGGTGATTGGGTAGCGTATGATACACGGGGGAGGGAGGGACAGTTACCTGCTTAAGTCTAAAAAGTTAAAGTTTATTGAATTAAATGAAAAGTTTATTAAGATAAGAATAATGTAATAGTAGAATATTGAAAGATAATTTTTTAAAATACAGTTAAGGAGCATTATCTAAAATAAGATAGTACATATGCGAATTATTTAATATTAGAATTATTTAGCTCTTCAAACATTAAGAAGATAATATGCATTTTGTTTCATTATATTAGAAACATTTTACCATTTTAGAGTGATTTGTGTTGTTTACAGTAAACTGAAAAATTCGTCTCGAACAAAAAGTGATATTGACTCGTGAACATTTTAGTGCGATTGTCTTTCGTAACTTTTGGCATGGTTTATCAAGGCAAGAGTGCTTCGATGAACTTAATTCTTCATACATCGATAAAGCACCATCCTACAGCCCTATACAAAACTGGTATATCGAATTCAATCGTGGTCGACGTTCGCTCCAGGTCGAATTCCGTGAAGGTCGTTGAAAATCGGTTGTTGGGCCAGAAAATATGGATGCTGTGCATGAATTGATAAAGCAACACGTCCTGTAACATACCGTGAGATTGACGCATCTTTAGTATGACAAGCATCAATAAGATATTACATGAGCATGCGTTGAAACCCGCATAATCCGACAAACGCTCAAAAGAAGACTTGTGTCGATTGGTGGAAGGAAATCTTGAAAAAGTAACGTTCAAAGTGCATCAAAGGCTACATGTAATATCTACACAGGTCATGAATCGTGGATCTATGTATATGAGCCGCAAAACAAAACAGCAGTTGACTACATGGGTCTTCCAAAACGAGCCAAATCCTACAAAAGGCGTTCGCGGCATTACCGGTCACTTGGCAACAGTGGCGTTATAGCAACGCAGAAAGATTAATTCCGAATGGTACAGGATCATTTGTTGGTCAGAAGTCATCGAAGAAATTCGAAGAAAAAGAAGAAGAGGCGAATCATTCTTCATCATGGCAATGCGAGCTCTCACACATCGGCTCAAACAAAAAAATTTTTGACGGGCCAAAACATCGAATTGATGGGTCATCCGCCGTACAGCCCTGATTTGGCACCCAATAACGTTTTGGTTAATCTTCGGATTATGGTAACTTGGCGAATTTTTGGCGAAAATTTGGCGACCAACCCTGCTACAGCAACCTGCTAGTTTTTTTTTTTGGACGCCATTTTGTTTTCACGAAGTAAAGGCTTTTTTTTTTCCTTCTTTTTTTTAACTCAACATTTTTTCCCAACTATCTGCTAGCCGAATTACACTTATGCTAGAACTTTTATGGAACAAAAGTGCTTAATCATGACGAATATTAGGTGCGAAATTGGGAGAAGGTGCAGAATAGCCCACTGCTGGTCGCGTTTTTAAGAATTGCACATACACGGTATCCATGTACACGTAGATCTATTTTCACTCAAAAAAACATCCCAGAATTGCACAAAATGGTATTGCGCACACTCTTGACTTTATCCATGTACACTGCTAAAGTCCTAGCTAGTAACCTTTATCGCCTTACCAAAATGTCGCCAAACTACCTGTTACCATATTCCAAAGATTAGCCGACGTTTTTTTTTATTCCTGCACATCAAAAATAAACTATGTAGTCAGCGATTTGCGACACCCGAAGAAGCGATTGATGCGTTCAAAACGCGTGTTCTGGAGTTACTTCAGTCGGAGTGAAAAAAAAAAAATGCTTCTAAAACATTGTTCAAACGGATGCAAAACTGTATCGATTTTCATGGAGAATATTTTGAAAAACAATAAAGACAATTTCGATCATAAACATTTGTTTTGCATTATTAGCCCAGAAATATAAATAGCAACCCTCGCATTAGTGTTCTGAAATGCGCTTGTATTTCTTAATTTCGAATGATGTCTAACTGAAATTCGCTAAATATTTATTTAATTGTAAATATATGAAAGTTGGTCTAAAGTTTAGTAATTAGTTTATGAATGCAAAATGAGTTGCTAATTAATTTTGCAACTATTTTCATTTTTGCATTTCTGAAATTACGCGACATAATTATAAAATAATAATGAATAAAAGTAATTAAAATGTAATAACGAATATAATACTAAGGTTGAAAGAAGTTTTAATTTCATCTCTAAATAAATATTATTCTATTGGAAAGAACACCATTCCAATTGTTAAATTATTTATTTGGCTTAATAAATGAACGCCGATGGCATTTTGATCAACATACTAATATTTCTCACAATAATGATGGAAAAAAAAGGCGCAAAAGTTACATAATGTTTAATAGCAATAAAAGCAATAGTACTAAATCAAGTACAAATGTATTAAATTAGAGATTAATTTTGATTAATTTTCAGTTTTAGTATTGCGTTACCAAATTTGCTGTGTCGATGTATTTAATTCTGCTAAAAATTAAAATATTTCACTATATATCAGTCAAAGCAAATAACTAAATAAATAACGCTGAAAACTTCGCGTTATGAAACCTTAAAATAATACATCTTACTTATTTCGTTTATAAGACGTTTGTGACACTAAGCTAAAATTATATTGAACTGATATAGAAGTGAGTTGTGCAACTAATAAGATAATTCCTATTTAAAAAGTTTTTGCTTGTATCACATTTTTAAATTCCTTATGCTGCAAGCACAATGATTTGACAATTAAATGGAGGAGTGATGATAAAATTAGGTAGGTTACTTGATTAAGGCAAAGCAACTCGAGGGCTATCTGC